TTTAGTTGTACCAAAGCATAGTACTGATGATAAAAAACAATGGAGACTTGTAGTAGACTACAGGCAACTCAATAAAAAATTGGTTAGTGATAAATTTCCACTTACACAATTGGAAGACGTACTAGATAGGATAGGAAGAGCTAAATACTTTTCTACATTGGATATGACAAGTTCGTTCCATCAAATAGAATTGGAAAAAGATTCTAGACCATTAACAGCATTTTCCACTAGTAATGGACATTATCAGTTCAAAAGATTACCTTTCGGTTTGAAAATATCCTCCAATAGTTTTCAAAGAATGCTTACAATAGCACTCTCAGGTTTAGACTCTAGTGCATTTTTGTACGTAGATGATATCATTATATTTGGTTGTTCTTTGCAACATCACAACTCCAATCTAATCAAAGTTTTTGAACGTTTAAGAAGCTACAATTTAAAATTAAACCCAAAGAAATGCAATTTTGTGAAACCCGAAGTAATTTACTTAGGACATTTAATCACTAAAGAAGGTGTAACTGCAGATCCAAATAAATGTAAAGTAGTAAATGATTACCCAATACCAGCAAATGCCGATGAAGTTAGACGATTTGTAGCATTTTGCAATTACTGTAGAAGATTTGTAAAAGACTTTGCAAAAATTGCAAAACCATTAAATGAACTTTTGAAAAAAAATATACAATTCATTTGGTCCGAAGATTGTAAATTAGCATTTGATAAATTAAGAATGTCAATAGTAAGTCCTCCAATACTACAGTACCCAGATTTTACTAAAGAATTTATACTCACTACAGACGCATCAAATTATGCGTTAGGAGCAGTTTTATCCCAAGGAGACATTGGAAACGATCTACCAATATCGTATGCCAGCCGTTCTCTTAATAAACACGAGTTAAATAAACCGATTATAGAAAAAGAACTTTTGGCAATACACTGGGGAATTAACCATTTTAGACCATATTTATATGGAAGAAAGTTTACAGTGGTAACAGACCACAGACCTTTAGTATCACTATTTTCACACAAAAACCCTTCGTCGAAGTTAACAAGAATAAGAGTAGATCTAATGGATTATGATTTTAACATAATTTTTAAACAAGGAAAAATGAATACAAATACTGATGCATTATCCAGAATCAGAATGGATTCGGATACACTTAAAGAAATGATTCCGAAAAATATTAATATTGTGACCAGAAGTAAAACGAAAACGAATAATGAAATGAATAAAGAAGAAAACGTAATCAAGCAGAATCAGAGTACAAATTACTCAGGGAATGGCCAACTCTACATGTGGAATTGTATTTCGATTTCTGATATTAGAAGATTACCTATATTAAAATTTGAGCTCAATAAAGAAGAGAATAAGAAAAGTTTGCCAATTATAAAGATTGAGAAAAATATTGTTAAAGTACAGTGTAGCAATAAGCCCAACTTGATTTTAGAATTAGTCTTGGATACGCTCACAAAAGTATTGAACAAAAATAATCTCAATAAAGTAGCATTATCTACTAAAGATATAGTATTCGAATACATTGATGAAAAAGAATTAATGAAAATATTTAATAGCATGCAAAAAGAAATAAAGAATAAAGGTCAGCAAACACCTATACGTATATTATTATATAATCCACCAAGGAATGTCGTGGATAAATCGGAACAAATTGAATTAATAAAGAATTACCATACAAGTATTCACGGAGGTCACACCGGAATAAGAAGAACTATAGCTAAATTAAAACAGAAATACGTATGGAAAGGAATGAATAAAATGATAAAAGATTATATTTTAAAATGTGCATCATGTAATAAGAATAAAATAATAAGACATCATAAAGAAAAATTTGTCGTAACTAACACTCCAACTTCACCGTTTGAAGTAATACAGATGGACACTGTAGGTCCACTAAGAATATCTAATGGGTACAGATACATTCTCACTATACAATGCGAATTAACTAAATATGTAGTCGCATTTCCTATACAGACAAAAGAAGCTCAAGAGATAGCAAAAGTCATGGTAGAAAAATTTATTTTTAGATATGGTAATGTTAAGAAAATAAAAACAGATAGAGGTACAGAATTCCTCAATGAATTAATAAATGATATATGTAAGTTATTAGGTATAGAACATTTAAAATCCACTGCTTATCATCACGAAACATTAGGTTCTATAGAAAGAAACCATAGAGTATTAAACGAATATATGTTATCGTTTACAAACAATTTTGATTGGGATACTTGGATCCCATACTACACATTTTCATATAATATTACACCTCATTGTGTAACAAATTATTCACCTTTCGAATTAGTATATGGTAGAGTCGCGAATCTTCCAAACGAGATAATAGAAGGTAGAAAATTTTATAATTATGATTCTTACGTTACTGAGTTAAAAACAAAACTACAGTATGCGCATAAAGCAGTAAATGAGATATTAATAAAAGAAAAATATTCTCAAAAAATTAAACAAGATGCTAATGCATCAGAAAATTTATTTAATGTAGGAGATTTAGTTTATTTAAGAGTAGAAAATAGAAGGAAACATGAGAATCCATATCATGGTCCATATAAGA